GCGCCGTCCGAGTGTGGTGATCCTCCCGACCCGGCCTCCCGGGGTCCGCCCGCCGCGCCCCGGCCGCTGTCCTTGCCTCGGGAAGACGCCTGCTAGATTGTCGCTCGAAATCCCTGTTGTTGACCGTTGTTGGTGATAAAGCGCGCGCTGAGGAATGGACGCGATTTCCCAGACTCCTCTGTAGTGGAAACCACAGAAGAATTTAATCTCTTCAAATTTCATTCGTCGATTTGTTTAAAAATAAAGGTACCCCCCCGCGTAGATTTAGTATATTATTCCTTCTAACATACTTTGCATGGTTTTCTAACATTTTAATATATTTTGCATGCTTTTCTCTTTCGTTCATTAATTTTGCTTGCTTTGTGGTGCTTGTTACTATCCGTCCAGGAGCATTAGTTTTGAGAGGCAGGAAAGTATGTAGTAGAAATAACCTTTGCTACGTAACCGGGTGGTTTTTAGAGATCTGAAAGATGGAAAAGGCTCTATTCTCAAATCTTGAACAGTTAGCTGTCTTTTTATTCTTTGCATTTCAATTGCAAAACAAGTGCAGCTAGGGTATTATCCTTTTTTTTTTCAGTTTATATTTGCCCATATTTTGTTATACGCAAACTAATTTTTCTAAACTGTTTGAGAGCAGGTGGCCTGTATCATGCATTCATTTATTCCCCCTTATTACTCAGTATAACGTTTATCCTAAGAGCTATGATGTTTTCAAATTCAGATTTAGCACTGATACATTACTTTGATCTGTGCTCTAATTCATGTTCTAATTTTATCAGTTATCACAAAACTATTATAGCGAATTTTCTATGCAGGATACAGTTCAGGATATATTGCATTTAATTGCTCTGTATGAATCATCTTTAATTTAGAATAACTGATCATTTGGTTCTCATGACATGCATTTTTAAGAAATAATAGCTTTTAAAAAAAATAATAGCCTTTTTTGGTATCATTTTCCTCATTTTTTTTTTTTTTTTTTTTCTGACAGGGTCTCAAAGAGAGTAGTTGAGACTGACCTGGAACTCACTGTGTAGCCCAGGCTGGTCTGGAACCCCCAGTGATCCTCCTGTCTCATCCTCCCAAGTGCTGGGATTGCAGGTGTGCGCCACCATGCCCGGCTCATTTTCCTCAATTGGATTATGCTTCCTCATGAGTAGACTTAGATTTGCATTTTTAGGCTGAAATACTGTATAAATATTTTTATGTCCTTTTCCTGTGATCTCATCCAGAAGAGCATGATGTCTGCCCCTTATTGACTAAGACGTTATCCCTCATGTCTGTAGTTTTGCTAGTTTTTAAAAATTAAGTAATTTGGGAAGAGGTACTACAGACTATGTAAACATCCTGTCCTCATCAGATTTCTTCCTTTCCTTTGCTTGAGTTAGCATCTTCTGTTGATTCTTGCCAGAATTTACTTTTGTTATGATGGTTGCAAAATAGTGACATTTCATATCTACCATTATATCAATGTGGTCTCATTGGTTTTTTTTGTTTTGTTGTGTTGTGTTTGGTACTAAACTCTGGACCTTGTGCTTGCTAGGCAAGGCACCACTCAGCTAAATCTCCGGCCCTCATTGATTCTTAACAGGTTGCTATATGTTGCTCACTTACATCAATTCTCAGAGTGTCCCAGATTTGGGCTATAAAGCTCGTTCCTTTTTTTTTTTTTTTTTTCACCAGGGATCAAACTCAGGTCCCTCTGCACTTGCAATGCAGGCGGTGGAACCACTGAGCTAAATCCCCAGCCTTTCTATATCTTTTTGATGTGCTCCTACCATGTGTTTACTGCCTTAGGTTGGAACATGATGGTTCAAGTCCATTTGGCTCCTTCTCTACCCTAGCCTTGAAACCAGCTGTTTTTCCAAAGAGCCCTGATTCCTCTTAGTGAGAGATTGTATTTGGGAATCAAGATCCAAGTATGATTATCCCTGCTGAAGTATCATGCTTCTAAGAAATTTTAGCATATGGAGTTTGAAATCATGAATTCTTATACTAATACTTCCAAGTCTAATCCAACCCTCTTGGGACTCTCCTAATCTTTCCCCATTCTATAGCTTCTTTCCACAGTAAATTCTAGCTTCTATTAATATATATATGTGTGTATATATATATATATATATACATATATATATATATATATGTATATATGTAATAGTTCCCCCTCCTCCTTTCAAAAATGCCATTGATTTGCTGAAGAAACTACCATGTAGAATTTTATCTGTAGTATTTTTTCTTAATTTGGTTGATTATATTCTTCTGATGTGTTAAAATTCCCTATAGTTTATTTTTTTGTCTTGTCATGTGATGATTAGATTTAGGCATGGGTTCAAGTTGAGTTTTAAATTTTTTATTTTTATTTTTTGTGGTGCTAAGGCTCAATCTAGAGCCTTGGGGATACTAGGCAAACCCTCTACCTCTGAGCTATATTCTCAGCCCAATTGTTACAGGAATATTTTGTAGACAGTTTTATGTACTTCCTACCTACATAGCATACTAACCAAGATAAATTTAATGTCCATTCATCTCACTGTTAGTAATTTTGAGATTGACTAGTGGGCTTAGGACACACCAGTGCACCTATTATAATATTCCTAGTGTATTTCTGTCTAATCATTTTAGCTGCCTCTGACACTTGACTTTGCAGCAGCAGATGAACCTTTTATTCCTGCTTTGTTTAGGTAGCTCTTTGGAAAGAATTTCTTTTATTTATAATTTTTTGAAAAGGTTTTCTCTTTTTCTTTTTTCTATTTTGGCTAGGGTTCAAATTCAGGGCATTGCACATCCATGCTAGGTAAGCTCTGCATTGAACCACACTCTCCCCAGCTCCAGCCCTGTAATTTTTTTATTAATACTTAACTCTTTTACACACACACACACACACACACATACATAAAATGTCTAAGGAAGTAGTCTTTTGGACTTCACAGTGCTGAGCAATTAAAAAGCATGTTGGGACTGGGTGTGTAGCTCAGCTGTGGAGTACATACTTACCGTGCACAAGGCCTTGTGTTTGATCTCCAGTGCCAACAAATACATAAACAGATGGAAAAGAAAATTCAGTGGCATAAATATGAAGACAACTAGCAACTTTATAAGCCATTAGGTCTTGTATACAGTTTTTTTTTTTTTTTTTTTTTTTTTCTGTAGAGCTAGGGAATCAAACCCAAGTGCATGGGTATACTTGGCAAGTGCTCCACCCCTCTAGCCTGATTGTTTTTCTTTTAAATCTTGTGTTATTAGGAAGCATTCAGCTGTTTTCTTGTTAAAGATGAAATTAATTATGCCAAGTAAATTCAGTTTTTTAATTTCATAGGCCAAATGAAATTAGGAAGGTAGAACCTTAAATAGGAAGGCAGAAACATAAAAAAAATGAAGAGGGGGCCAGGGATTTAATTTAGTTCAGTGGATCCAATGCCTGCCTTATAAGCACAAGGTCCTGGGTTCGATCCCCAGAACAAAAGAAAAAAAAATGATTTAATTGAATACAATATAGGCCAATGAGCAAATGCCATCATATTCAAAATTTGCAAATTTTGAATTTAAAAAATTTGAGCCAAACATGATGGTATATGTCTGTAATTCCAGCACTTGCGAGGCTGAGGCAGAGAGAGTGCCATGAGTTTGAGGCTAGCCTGGGCTACATAGTGAGTTCAAGATCATCCTGGACTACGTAGGGAGACCCTGGGTCAAAAAACCAAATTAATTAATTAATTTAAAATTTTTCAAGTCATAAACTTACAGAAAATTGCAAATATACTACACTTTTCATGAACCATTTTAAGTGACAAACTGGAATTCCTGTCCCCTGCAATACTTTAGTGTGGGTTTTTTGTTTGTTTGGTTTTGGTACCAGGGATCAAATTCAGGACCTTGCGCTTGTGAAGCAGTGGCAGAACCACTGAGCTAAATCCCTGGCTTAGTGTTTTGTTTTGTTTTTGTTTTTTTTTGTAAATAACATTCTTCTACTTAACTACAGAATAATTACTAGAATGAAAAAGCTAACATTTATTTGTACAACTATTTAATTTTCAGTTTTTTATTCAAGTTTTTCCACCTGTCAAATATTGTGCTTTATAACAACAATAAATCTTTCAGTTACTCATTGCATTTAGCTGTCTCTCTTCCATTTGGAACTATTTCCTCAGTTTTTTCTTGACTTTCATGACCTTGATATTTTGAAGGTTACAAAGCCATTGTTTGAAGAATATCCCTCAATTTGGGCTTACCCAGTATTTCCTTATGATTGGATTTAGGTTATATATCTTAAACATGTCACAGAGGTCTTCTCATGTCACCCAAGAGTTGACTTGAGCTGTTGAAATGTAATTATCTAACTATAAAAATTCTAAATTAAGATACGCAGTCAATATAATGGATTCTTTTATTATTACTGTTATTTACAGCATCATCTTGATTTTTCTTAATTGGTCATTGGGATCTTAACAAGAATGGAGATAAAATTAGAAGTTTTGACATCAACAAATATCAAGCAGAAAAAACCCTGGCCAAAAATTTCCTGGTTGGGACAGGTAAGATTTTCTTTATTCATATAAAACCAGTTTTATATGTATTAAATATGTGTTTTTAGATGTAGGAATGACCGATAAAATAAAATGTCATCTTCACAAGGATCATATGACCCCTGAACAGGATTTTGCATGTGCTTCATTTGTACTAAAATGAATAAATTACCTTTGTAGAAAGTTAAGTAGTTTGTCTAGAAGGAAGTTTTTACTTTGAGCTTTTCTCCTTTATATTAAAAGTAGGTTGACTGCAATCCCAGCACTTGGGAGGCTGAGGCAGGAGAATGGATGCAAGTTCGAAGGCAACTTGGGTACCATAATAAGTTTAAGAACAGCCTGAACTACATAAGGAGACCCTACCTCAAAAAAAAAAAAAAAAAAAAAAAAGG